GGAGGGCACGGGGGGTTGATTATCAGTTAATTACTCGCTGACGAGTTACTGAAAGCTGCCGGAGCCCCCCAGCAGCCTCTGGAGCCGTGCGGGGCTGGGGCACGGGCGGGGTCGGGACCCCCTGGGCTCCCCCGGGGGCTGCGGGGGCTCCTGGCCCAGCGCACCCCCAGCCCCTGGAGCCCCGGCGGAGCCTGCCCGTCCCTGCCCCTGTCCATCGAGAGCTCCGCCGGTGCCCGTGTGCCCCGGGCGAGGTTCGGGAGGGGCTTTCCCCCTCTCTTGGGGGCGTTAGCGAGGCTTTCAGCAGTGTCCTCGTCTCTGCCCCCCCTGCGGCTGGCGGTCACCAGGGACACCCCAATTCTCCCGGGGGAGGGAAATCTGCCCGGCTCAGCCAGCCCTGGCGCTGCGGGCACCCCCTGGCATCTCCTCCGGGCTGGGCAGCCCTGGGGGTGCCCCCGAGCCCCAGCCCCCGGCCCAGGACAGGGCTTTGGGCTCCTGGCTGAGCCCCTCCCCAGGCTCGCTGCCGTGCCCGTTCCCAGCTCCTTGGAACGCTCCTGAGCTTTGCCTCTCCTGGCTTGTGTAAGTGAAACATTTGGTTTTGTGACACTTTCCTTAATTATGGGAGCTAATGACAAAACCATTGTGACAAATGACTCAGCTTTTGATAGTGAAGTTAATTAATTCTGAAGCTGGAGCCTCCATTGGAGTATCTGGAGAAGCCCGATTAGGAAGTGTGCTCACCCAGCGTGGCACGGGCGGCAGGAGCCGGTCCCCGGGCCAGCCAGGTGAGCCCTCCCCGGGGCTGGCAGGGAGCATCTGCCCGGAGCTGCCTCCTGATCCGTCCCTCCGTCCATCGGGGCGTCCGGGGAGAGCAGCCTCGCTCATGCTGGGCTGAGTGACCAGGAGCAGCTCTGCGCCCGGCGCTGACCTTCAAGAGCGTCTCCCTGAAGCCATCTTTCATCTCTTTCATTTGCATTACAATCCTGTTTGCCTCATTATTCCTTATCCAGTTCTTCTTCAAAGGATTTAAATCAAATCAATTAAATTGTGGCAGGCTGGAGCGGCAGTGAACCTTTCCTCGTGGCTCAGCGTGGTCCGGCTGGACCTGACTACAGAATGGGTTTAATCTTCTGCTATTTGTTCTTTTATTGCTTCTGGGCTACCTCTGCCCACAGATGCCTTTGATCCCTGTCCATCCTTCCACCCATCCCGTGCAGACACGCTCCACGTGCAGGCTGCTCTTTGTCTGACCTTGGGGAAGGATTTTCTTTGGGAAGACGGGAGCTGCTGGCCATGGAACGGCTGTGGGAGCCCTGGGGCACTGCCGTGGTGCTGTTCCATCCCTTTCCATCTCCCCTGCTTGTTTTGTCTGCCCAGGGAGCCAAAGGATCATGGAACCACTCAGCTTGGAAGCGCTCTCTGAGCCCATCGTGTTCAGCCTCTCCTGCAGCACTGCCAGGGCCACCACTGCCCCCTGACCCCGCGTGCCACACCTGCACGGCTTTTAAATCCCCCCAGCTCTGGGGGCTCTACTACTTGGCAACCCTTCCAGTGAAGAAATTTTCCCAAATATCCAGTTTAAGCCTCCCTTGGTGCAAGTCGAGGCTGTTTCCCCTTGTCCTGTCCCTTGTTCCCTGGGAGAAGGGACTGAGCCCCACCTGGCTGCACCCCCTGGCAGGGAGTCAGTGTCAGCACAGGGGGGGGAAATGCTGGAGAAATGTCACAAGTGTGGGCAAATCCCCCGGATCTGGGCACCAGCTGCTGCCAGAGTGGTCGCCCAGGCCCGGAAGATGCGTGGTGCTGGCCCACACACGGCCACCCCTGCTCCCCCAGCATCTCTAAGAATAAAGAGGCTTAATCAGAATGGATTCTGTTCCTCCCCTGCTATTTTTATTGCTACTCAACTGTCGGAAATCCAGCAGGGAGAGCAGAGCTGGTGGGGAATTGCACCAGCTTGCACCGAGCCAGCTCGTGCCATGGCCCTGCAGCGTGGCACGGCTGGCACGGCTGGCACCCCTGGCAGCTCATGGCACAGGGACAGCCCAGCCTCACCACTGGAGTCCTGCTGGAGCCAGGGGATTGCAGCCAGCGCTCCCAAAGTGGTGCAGATATAAATAATCCCCTCGTAGGAGTGGGGAAGGATGAACACATGTGCCCAAGGCTCTGGAGTCCTTATCCCCTCGCAGCCCCCAGGAGCAGGAGAATGAAGTGAAGGCTGGGCAGGGCTGGAGCCTCTCCCTGCATGGCTAATGACCCAAACTCGCCTTGTCTCAGCCTCTCTTCCTTCAAGGAAAAACCTAATCCAGCTAGGGATTATTCTGACTACTTACTTCCTGTCACTTTGCCAATTTAAATGCAGCAGAGCTTTCATGGCTGGATTTGGGAGGACAAAGCCTAACTGATCTCGGGTTAGGACATTTTTGCCTGCGAGGACAGCTTTTTTCTTGCAAGAGTTGTACAATCTTTGCAGCGTGGGCTGGATTTTTCAATTTGTTTCTAATTTGCCTAGCATGATAGGGTCCAGGTCCAGGAGCAGGAGGATGATGATGGACAGGGCAGGGAACAGGAGCTGGAGCTGGAGCTGGAGATGGAGCTGGAGCTGGAGCTGGAGGAGCCCAGGCTGCCCTGGTCAGGGTGCCAGGCTGTCACCCTGCAGTTTGAGTTGCAGAGCAGGATACCAAGGTCACCAAATTCTCATTGGTCCCAAAGTTTAGCGAACCCCTGGGAAGGCCAGAGCTCCCAGCTCGCTCCTGGAGCTGACACCCCATTCATGGAGCAGTGAGAGGGGTGCAGGGGTGTCCCCACCTCCAGCCCCACAGGGGCCAACACGATCTGACACGGACTTTGCTTCTGTTTGAGCTCGCTTTGTTCAAAGCCTAGGAAACGGTACATGTGCACTCCGCTCACACCTACACACGCTGTGTTAAAATAACACAATTAAGGCTGCAAAATCCCCCACTCACAACGCAATTTGCAGCCCCTCAGCTGTGGGAGGGAGATATCTTTGCTGCCTCTGCGCAGCCGGGGGCCGGGCAGGGCGCTGCCGTCAGGCGCTGCTGACGGGGCCGGGCAGGGGCGGCAGGGCTGCCAGGAGCAGGGCTGCCACCGGGCAGGTGTCCCACAGAGCCTGGCCTTTCCCTGTGCCGTGCCCTGAGCCACCTGCCTGGTGCCCACGGGATTGCTCAGGGGCTTGGGAAAACCACGAAGAGGAACTTCGTGCACAGGCTGGCAGTGACAGGACAAGAGGGAATGGTTACAAATTAAAAGAGTGATTCATGTTGGATATCAGGAGGAAATTCTTCCCTGGGAGGGTGGCACAGGGTGCCCAGAGCAGCTGTGGCTGCCCCTGGATCCCTGGCAGTGCCCAAGGCCAGGCTGGACAGGGCTTGGAGCAGCCTGGGACAGTGGGAGGTGTCCCTGCCATGGCAGGGGTGGCACTGGGTGGGCTTTAGGATTCCTTCCAGCCCAAACCATCTTGGGTTCTGTGATTCTGAGCCCAGGGCTCACCCCGGTGTCCAGTCTGTGACACCAAGGTGTGACCTGGGAACCGACGTGTGCCTCTGCCAGTGCCACTCCCCAAAACTGAGAAGCGACAACCCCTCCCCAAAAAATGCCCAGAAGATGCAGGGGGGGTGGGTGGCTGCTGCTGACCCCAGCCCCTGTTTCCCCATGCTGGCACTCCTCAGAGGGCTGTGTCCCCTCCCAGCTGCCAGCTCTGCCACTCTGCAGATGGAAGCGCCGGGGAGCAGGAGCTGGTGCTGTGCGCCCAGAGAGCCTGGGCAGAGCTGCACCGCCTCCAGCCTGAGCTGGGAACCAGGCACGGGGCCCGTGGGGAAGCAGGGAATGAAGCAGGGTGATCCACAGCCAGGAGCCAGCGGGAAGCTGGGGAGGGACGCGGCGGGGCAGCAATCAGCGTGCCCTGCCTGGGGAGCCGCACAAACCGTGATTGCAGGTCGAGGAGCCACTTAATTCTCGCATTCTTAATTTCTCAGTACCTTCATAATTCTCTGTTTGCCTTTTTGGAGTAAATAACTAGTATTTCCATGTGAGTGCATGCAGATGAGGGCTGGGAAGCACACGGCACCGTGTAAATCAGTCGCTTTCCCGTCTCAGCGTGGCCCTCACAGGAGCGTGAATTCCAGAGGTAAGTGTGTTCTAGGGCTTGCTGGAAAGGTCGCGTGAGTCATGGGCTCATCCAACCGGCTGGGGGATGTTTCAGGGAGATGAGGAGACAGCCGAGAGGGAGAGGGCAGGGGGGTTAACTGCTGGGAATGGTGCAGGAGTGCCTTGTGGGCACGAGGGACGCTCAGGCTGAACCAGCTGCTGCGCAGGGATAAACTCCGGCTTGCCGGGGCAGGGACAGCTCCGTGCCAGCCTGGGCAGGCGCTGTGCCCTGCCTGGGGTCCGCTGTGTGGGTGTGTGCCCCCAGCCCCTCGTCCCAGTGCCAGCGGTGCCCGGTACCGGTGCAGCAGCTCAGGCACCGAGCTGGGGGGACTCAGGGAACCGAGCGGCCCCGTGCCGGGGGCTGGCGCGGGTGGGTGACTGTCCCTGGGGCGGCACTGGCACTTCGAGGGGGTTTCCACCCTGTCCGTGTCCCAGGACAGTCCCGCTCCGCTCCCAGAATCCCGGTGGTCCCCGGGGCGGTCTCGGTCCCCCGGTCCCCGCTCGGTCCCGGCACCCAGCGCTGGGATCCCCCCGCCCAGTCCGGGTTTTCTTGCAGGGTCTCTCTCCCTTTCTCCCGGGGCAGTCCCGATCCCAGCACCCCGGGGTGGGCTTCCCGGGGCACTCACGGTCCCCGCCCAGTGCTGGCACCCCGGGGTGGCTTTCCCGTCCCGGTCCCCGTCCCCCCGGTGCCGGCCGCCGTCCCCCCGGTACCGGCCGGTCGGAGCGGGCGGGGGGCGGTGTCCCGGCGGC